AATAACAACACGCCAACATTAATCAAGTCTGCAGGAACAAGGATGGATATCCAACTCCCCCACATCCAAGACGGCCATTTTGATTAGGTCACCAATAGGTAGATCCCAGGCAAGAAAATTAAGTATCTCTTAAGTATCTATACCCCCCCTTCTCTCTGGTTTATTTATTTGTTTGTTTTTTATGATCATTAACTTGACGTTAGCCTTGAATTGCTAGCTGCGGCTAATGGCTAATAATAACACACCAACATTAATCAAGTCTGCAGGAAGCACAAGGATGGATATCCAACCCCCCACATCCAAGTCGACCATTTTGATTAGGTCACCAATAGGAATATCCCAGGCAAGAAAATCCTAATTGCTTCATGGCAATATAGACGTTAATTGAAAAATAGTGAAATGAATCTAGCAAACACTGAATTAAACTCTATCCATAATATTATGTTAAAATAGTGGATGGTAAATAGGTTTGTACAATAAGTCCAAACAAGTTTAACCAGAAAATATTTATTTCTCACAATTATGAAGGGTTAGGGTCAGGGTTAGGGTTAGGGTTAGGGTCAGGGTTAGGGTCAGGGTTAGGTTTAGGGTTAGGGTCAGGGTCAGGGTAAGGGTTAGGGTTAGGGTTAGGGTCAGGGTCAGGGTTAGGATTAGAGTTAGGGTCAGGGTTAGGGTTATGGGTCAGGGTCAGGGTTAGGGTCAGGGTTAGGGTTAGGGTTTAGGGTTTAGGTCAACACAAACACATTATTCGTTACCACATTCCAATGTCATCTGCATGAATTAGGACCTGGCCTGTTTATCTCAGGAAGTTTTTCCCTCCATGTGTCTCCTAGTGCTGCTTTTGGTGGGAACCGTTATTCTTCTGTTGACCCAAACTGACCAGAACCAACCCAAAACTGACTTAAAGTGGTCTAAAACGGATCCAAACTGGTCCAAAACGGACCTAAACTGGTCCAAACCTGACCAGAACCAACCCAAAACTGACCTAAAACTGACCAGAACCAACCCAAAACTGACTTAAATTGGTCTGAGCTGCTCTGTTTGGAAAGCTGGGAGATAATGTTGTTGGGATTTGGAGCTATATAAATAAAATTTAATTGAATCTAATTGAATAACAGAGGTAACTAGCCAATAGGACTTGGTTATAGATCTCAGGGCTCTTTGCCCACTGAGACCCAGAGAGAGGTTTTTGTCTTCTAGAGCCCAGCTGAAATACTTAAAAGTGACCTAATAAATGTAATTTTTATACTCTATATTTACTCTGGTTTATTCTCAGGTTTCCAACTAAAGAACCGGGCTAACAATCTCAATCTAAATCTGATTAAAGGTGAGATCAGAGTAGCCTGAAACCTGCTCTAAAATACCTGAGGGAACAAAAAAAGGGGTTTTGATTAAACCTGTTAAACCAACATTTAACACATGCTTATAGTTTATAAACCTGCTGTTACTCTGTTTTAACAGTGATTGGATTTAAAACAAAGCAGATTTGATGGGATTAAAATCTTGATGGATGGGATTGTTCAAAATTAGCTTTTGTAGAAAGGGAAGCTACTAATTCTGCTTTTAATTTGTAAAACCATCACTAAACGTAACCCTTTGGAGTTAAAATGAGCTGTTAATTATTTTAATGTCCAGTTTGCTCCTTTACTTTTTGTCTGTGAACCACAAATTGAAGCAAATGAGTCAATCAGGCCTGAAAAGATCTTTGGAAATTGGTATTTGTTTCTGCCCAACTGTCACAGGAGGCTATATATAATATGTGGCTTATAAATCTATTATATTATCTCATTAAAAATCAAATAAGTCGGCTCTTATAGTTAAATATTGAATATTTACGGTGTTTTTTTATTTAAACATAACATTCTAATGCTAGCTTGTTTAGCTAGCTACCAGCTAACAATAGCTAAATTTGGATTTAAAGGGGGAAATGATCTCTCTAAGCAGTAAATTATTTACCTGTCTGAAAAAAAAGAAAAAGTAAGCAGAGAATGTACTAAAAACTAGATTCCATCAGTATTTCTGATTGAGTGATTTTGCATTATGACCTTAAGACTTTATCCGGAGTTTGTGCTAAAAGTAGCATGCATGAGTCACCATGCGTAAAAACAGTTAATAATTATCAGGAATTCAGAGCAGATTAGAGCTCACAGATAATCCAGTTATATCTCAGGAAACTTCCATTAACAGTTAAAGCAGTTAAAGCAGTTAAAGCTATCATTTCCCCTGCGGCTGCACATGATTTCCACCTTTAGCCTGTTTAGCGCTTTGCGGCTAACTTCCTGCTAACAGTTTGGGGATTGATGTTGTGCTTAGACAGTTATTGTGCACCAAAATTACACAAAATTAGTAAATTCATGACTCTAACATGCAAATCTGAGCATGCACCCCACATATCCTTCCTCTAAATCTAAAATAATCTAATTTATGAGGCATTAAACAGCTATAATTCTGCCAGAAAGCCAGAAAAAGCCAGTTTTTAAGCCTGAAGCTCCAGTGAGTTGTCAATTTATTTTGGTCTGGAACTTTTAATGGCTGAGCTTGTTGGTGTTTTTCTGGGAGTGAACTTCAAACCTTGTGCAACACAGGAAAATAGGATTTTTCTAACCTTGAGTTTGGAGCAGCAACCCTCGCGGGGCTTTTTGGACTCTACGCTCATGATGCTGCTTTTGGTTCAACAGATCCAAGAAAAAAACCTGAAAACACACAAAAAGGAAACGATTTAAAAGGATGAATTGTGTTGAAAATTCACATTCAGAAAAACAGCATTTAAAAAAAAAAAGATAAAAAAGCGATCTTAAAATGTTTATTTTTTCTTCACATTTTTATTCAAAATCAAATAATGTAATTAAAAGTATGTTATCCAAGTCATATTCTTTGTATTCTATAAATATAACTTACAAAAAATATGTTTCCTGCCTAAATTAGTTTTTTAGCTGTACATTGTACATTCAGAAAACAGATAAAAACTGATAAAAAGCAACCTTAACATTTTTTCCTTTTTTATTTAAAATCAAGTAATATAATTAAAATGTTTGTCATTCAAGTCGTATTTATTGTATTCTTTTAAATATAACTTACAAAAAAAGAGTGTTTCCAGACTAAATGAGTTGTTTTAGCTGTACATTGTACATTCAGAAAAACAGCATTTAAAAAAAAACAGATAAAAAAGCTACCTTAAAATGTTTATTTCCTTTTTTATTTAAAATCAAATAATATAATTAAAATGTATGTTATCCAAGTCATATTCTTTGTATTCTATCAACATAACTTCCAAAAAAATGAGTTTTTCCAGCCTAAATTAGGTTTATTTAGCTGAACACTGTACATTCAGAAAACAGTACATTTAAAAAAAAACAGATAAAAAACATTAAAATGTTGATTTTTTTTCCTTTTTTATTTAAAATCAAATAATATAATTAAAATGTATGTTAGTCAAGTCATATTCTCTGTATTCTATACATATAACTTAAAAAAAAAAAAAAGATTTTCCAGGCTAAATTAGGTTTATTTTTAGCTGTGCTTGCCATTGTTTTAGGAGGCTAATAACATTTCTTGCTAAAAACCAGCAGAAAATAATGAAGTAGATTCTCTGGAGGAGAATTGAGGAACATTTCTTGCTAAAATACAGCAGAAAATAATGAGGCAGAGTCTGTGGAGGAGAATTGAGGAACATTTTGTGCTAAAATACAGCAGAAAATAAGGAAGCAGAGTCTCTGGAGGAGAGTTGAGAAACATTTCGTGCTAAAATACAGCAGAAAATAAGGAAGCAGAGTCTCTGGAGGAGAGTTGAGGAACATTTCTTGCTAAAATACAGCAGAAAATAAGGAAGCAGAGTCTCTGGAGGAGAGTTGAGGAACATTTCTTGCTAAAATACAGCAGAAAATAAGGAAGCAGAGTCTCTGGAGGAGAGTTGAGGAACATTTTGTGCTAAAATACAGCAGAAAATAAGGAAGCGGAGTCTCTGGAGGAGAATTAAGGAACATTTTGTGCTAAAATACCAGCAGAAAATGAGGAAGCTTAGTCTCTGGAGGAGAGTTGAGGAACATTTCTTGCTAAAATACAGCAGAAAATAAGGAAGCAGAGTCTCTGGAGGAGAGTTGAGGAACATTTCGTGCTAAAATACAGCAGAAAATAATGAAGCAGAGTCTCTGGAGGAGAATTAAGGAACATTTCTTGCTAAAATACAGCAGAGAATAAGGAAGCTGAGTCTCTGGAGGAGAGTTGAGGAACATTTCTTGCTAAAATACAGCAGAAAATAAGGAAGCTGATTCTCTGGAGGAGAATTAAGGAACATTTCGTGCTAAAATACAGCAGAAAATAAGGAAGCAGAGTCTCTGGAGGAGAATTAAGGAACATTTCGTGCTAAAAACCAGCAGAGAATAATGAAGCAGAGTCTCTGGAGGAGAGTTGAGGAACATTTCGAGCTAAAATACAGCAGAAAATGAGGAAGCTGATTCTCTGGAGGAGAGTTGAGGCTGGATGTTTTTACCTGAGCGGCTGCAGAGGTCCAGAGTGAGGCTTCTCCCGGCTGACTTTTCCTCTGGCAGGACTTTGTGCTGAAAGTGCAAGTCTTATCACCGCCAAAAAATTATAAAATCACCTGTAATCAGTAACTCGGGCGCTTGTTGATCGTGTCAACAAAAGGTGGACTAAAGGTTCACAGGCCCCCCGAAACACAAACACTGGGCCCTAGCCCCACATTCCCCCACATCCTCCCCTGTGATCATCACACAACGCTCAACAAAC